CACATTTTTAACTCGGGAATCACGAAAGCTGGAACGCTGAAATTTTGGTGGAATGTTCCCGGCCCACGTGCGACCCCACAAACTTAAACTTGGCCTTCACCTACCCGTGGTTACCATGTACGATCTCGCCAAAGTTTTGGTGGGGGAGGGGGAATTATTATCTGAGAAACCACGAAAGCAGGAAGCTGAGATTTTGCGGTAACGTGCGCTGTCCACACACAACCTCGCAAATTTAAATTCAGCCTTCCTGCGCACTCAATATCACGTGGACTCCGTGAAAGTTTTGGCGGGAGAATTATTATCCCGCGAATCACAAAAGCTAAGGAGTTAAAATTTTACGGTAATGCCCCTTACCCAAACACGACTCCGCAACTTTAAATTCAGTTTTCCCCTAGGTCTGGGTACCACGTACAATCCTGTGAAATTTTTGGTGGGGGAAATTATTTTGGGAGCCATGAAAGTGGGAAGCCAAAATTTTAGATTATTTCCTCTGCCAACGTACGATCCGGCGAATTTAAATTCAGCTTTCACGTGTGCTTGGATCTCAACGTCCTTATGTTTTGGTGGGAAGAATTATTAACCAGAAGCAAGAGGAAGTAGAAGGCTAAAGATTATAAGAGGATGTTTTCTGCCTATGCAGAGGTAACACAAACTAAAATTTGATTCCCAAGTATGCCGAGATCTTCCGCACGACTACATCAAATTTTGGCTCGAAAATCACCCAAAAGCCAGAAAATTAGGGGGTTGATTTTGGAAAGATGTTTACTGTACAAGACTTTAGTGAGAAATTTCGCAACTTTAACGGGAAATTACTATTTTTGCGCAGACCGAATTGCAAAGCAGTGAAAATCATTATCAGGCAAACGTTCGCTGGATGGAACGGCGTAAAACGCATGATCGCACCGGCTGCCCTGGTGCGCGCTGCTATTTATTAACATTCATCGCACGCCCTTCATCGCTAAAAGCAGTCTGGTAATATTGCCAGCTCTTGCATAATTAATCCTGGAGTTCCATTTGCTACTGAAGGGTTTGACGGATGAAAGATAAAATGTAACACTTCATGCTTTTCTATACAAAAATATTTACCACCTAGGAGAAGAGGAAATATAGATCAGGTGGCATTAATGGAGTGAACGTGCATTAAAATGGTGTGAACGCAACATTTTTACTGGCTGAATATGCACTCGGTGCATGCACTGGTGGAAATTATTAAAATATTTCGAGCAATTTGATCCGAAAGAATATCTTCAAATTTCTCCTAGTAAGACTTTTTTAATTTTTTGCATACTTTTTTCTAAAATTATAAAACAGACTTACTAGGAGAAGTTCGTACGGTACTGGCACTTTGAGCGATAAACGCTTGTTTATAAATGGGCTAACGCACTCTTTGCCGAGGTAAAGAAATGCGATTCCGAACAGCGACATCCCCAAAGTCCACAAATTGGCCTGTGGAATGCGCACCAAAATATCGTACGCTCGCTGAAAATAATACTAACAGTGTACCGGCAGGAAAAGATTGTTCGTATAGCGCATGACCGATGTAATTCATACATAAAAAAGACAGTATGGGCCATGGAGACCCTACCCACATCATATGTACTACATTTTATTAATTATGAATGCGTAGTTTAAATCATAGAATATATGGAATATATGATAATCGTAGAACAAGAAATATGCAAATCGTAGAACAAGAATATATGATATAGCTGGGCTCCATACGCAGCTGCTTCTCGGTGATATCAAAGATGTCGTAAAAGACCATGAAACTTGGTATAATCAAAAACACACATCAAGGAGATCTCGAAATGGCTAAAGCTTTGCCAATTGTTCCTGTTCCAAAAACCCGCTGACAAAGGCATTTTTTTCAAGAAACGATATGAAAGTCCAGTATGCCAGCAGGCTGATAAACAGGTGATGCAGCACTGGTGAAAGCAACTGGAAAAATTGCAATCCGTATAGCTGAAGAACCAGACACAGCTGGTCTAAATAATGAAGGCACAACCAAAGCCTTTCATCTAATCAGGTCGGGTAGTGTTCAATAAGGCGTAGCTAAAACAACAAGCATACTTCGGTAATTTGAGAATAACCACTTCCCTGCGATGCCCTGCGACGTAATACTATTGTACAATGGCTAAATGCTTCATTCCAGATCCTTCCTTACTTTTCTTATCCATTAAACATCACTCACGATCCTTCCAGCAGGCCAACAACTAATTGTATTCAACCACTTTCCCTCCCCTGCCTCAAAAGTCCCCATAAATCGCTTTTGATTGGGCTATTAGTTCAACTTTTTGCAGTCCACTATCATTGTCGTGTCAAAACACGAAAATGACACGAAAATGTTTCATTTTGTTCTTTTGAAAAAGGGGGTCACAAGGAGGGAGAAGGAGTAAGGACGTCTGGGGTAGGAAAAACATTTATTCCTAAAAGTGGGATAGGGCGGACTGGAAGAAGACTGCGACTTCGAAAGGCGGATTGAGCTGGGAGAAGATTGTGTGTGAAATTCGGGAGCCAACAGCTGCGAGATCCGTTGGATTTCTCAGACTTTGGTGTTTATACCTGTACCGTTGAATTACTTAACTTTGTGTTTTTAAGTTTGATATATTAAAATAAGAAATTCAGCTCTTTGCTTGAAGCATAGCTATTTGATCATAGGCGCAAAGCAGATGATCAACAGTCGTCTTCTCCGCTAACACGAGTAACCCGCTACGTTGCCCTCGACATCACTAGACTCACCACTTACAACCAGTAATGGTGGACTCTACTAATGATTAACCGATTGACTATCTTTAACTGCGATCTGCTCTTAGTCGATTTTATGAATCGGTTCAACTAGCGGACCACTAATCAGCTAATCGCGGTCGACCTTTACCCGGTATTAACCATTCATTTCTCAGTTTACACGGCAAATGCTTCTAGCTAAACAAATTAAGACTGGTCACCAGAACTGTCAGAAAACATTCCCTTCTTGCTACTCTCCGCTTCATGCTACTCTCCGCTCCTTTTTAAATAAAAGCCCTACGGATATATATATTGCTGCACTGTGCCAACTCCAGATTTGAGCCAAAGGCGAACAGGATTGTTATGCTATGACTTCCCGGACTTTCTAGCATCACATTGTTCTGCCTACCCACCGCCGCTGCCGAGAAATCCATCGCTGAAGACGATATCTGAGTCAACAAAATAAAGAGAAGTAGAATTATTTACTGCTTGATTCGACGATGCCTGTTAAATTGCCTAAAG